TCGGGCGTTGCAAACAGAAAGAACAGAGAAATGTGAGAAAAATAAGCAAAAGGCAGCGCACTGGGTGTTGAACCCACGCCCTCTTGGTTACCAGCGCGCTGTCTTACCACTTGGGTGGCTATACATCCGTTCATTTATATCAAACCATAAATATATATTACAAATCAAGTCTATGACCTGAACTTCATCTTCAACCTCACGCCCAGCTAGAGTACCTGTAACTTCATCTCTCAACAAAAATGGAAAGTACAAACATGAAAGTTGTGGTATTTCTTCCCACGAATCCAACCATATAAATAACTAAAGCTAAAAGTCAAAGATAAGTGAGAATTTTTCTGGACCTAATTTAAAACCTAAAAATTTCAGAAACTTCAACTCTAAAATTCTCTAAGCTCAGGCCATATAAATGCAAACTATGGATATGTACAGCTTAGTGGCAATGGTATCTATATTATCTTAGAAAATGAAAGCTTAACAATGCCTATATGAATAGTTCAAAAGTCAGAAATCTTACCTTGCAATAGGGTATCGTGTTTTGAGTTTGAGCAGCTTTCAATGAGTTCTAGTGATTGTGTTAGCTTCCTCAAGTTCCCAGGAAGCTAATGTGATGCTTGGCTTGAGCTGAAAGTGGCTGAGGAGTTCTGGAGAAGTCCACTTGCAGACCCCTGTTTTTGAAAATGGAACTTGATGATGGAGGTGTTACAGTTAAGCAAAAGGACTTTGGATGGTTTGTATTTGATGTTTAGAAGCTTTAGGAACCAAAAGGCTTGGAAACGCACGAGGGAGATGTGAGTTTCAAGTTTTTGGTCAAATTATGCAACAATGGAGTTTTTGTGTGTGATTCTGGGTTTTAGGGAGTTTGAGGGCTTAAGCATGCGTGCCTTTTCTTGCAAATGACTTGTGTATATGTATGGAAAAGATTGTGAGGCTTGAGATGGTCAGAATCACACAAGTATAAGTTATGGGATTTTGCTTGTTTTTTAAGCAAGCTTGAAACATCTTGTTTCAATGTGAAGTACCAAGCTTGTAGGGTGGCTGCAACATTTAAACGTGCTTATTTTGATTGTGTAGGGAAAGCTTGTGCAGAAAGGACAAGTTCAATGCCCAGGATAAAACTGATTTTGTGGTTAAAGCAACTTTGCTAGAATGGAATGATTACTTTCGTCCTAAAATGGAAATAAGCATGGGAAATGCATTGAATGCTTGAGTTGAAGCTTCTTACAGCTGTGCAAACATTTAATTATAGAGTGCCAAGCAAGTTTGAGGCCTGCAAAGCAAATATTTTGCAGCCTAGCATGGATTTGAATTCTTGTTCATCACAAAATTCTGCCTTGTAAACCAACTTAAAACCCTAACTTCTGACCTTCGATTCTCCTTTCTCACAAATGATCTCAAGGAGTTCTTGGACTTTTTAGAAATCTTGTAATGTTTTCTACAACCTCTATTTGAATCACATTTGCAAAATACAAATGGAACTATGTGAAACTTGGCTCATAAGTTAGGTCAAAATCCTGACCAAAATGCTCAAAATTTCACTAAGTGTTTTAGTTTCATGACCATGACTTCATGGATTAATAACTTGAAATCCAAGCATTTATAGGAAGAGTTGTGTAAAGCAATATTTTAAATCTCATTGAGATCTACAACTTTCAAGTTGAAAGATTCCTTTGAATCATCTTGCATCATGGTGAAAAATTGGCTCAAAGTTGTGAAAAAATATGAAGTTTTCAACACTTAGAAAAATTTATAAGTTTGGAAACTTTGACTTTTCAAAATGAAATCTTGACTTTTTGATTTCTTGATGAACAAGTTTCATATTTTGACATGTTTTGATGAATTGTGATTTTTGACACTTGATTTTGACCAAAAAGTCAAAGTTTGACTTTTCAGTGTACAATTGACTTTTGATCAGTTGACTGAAAATTAACTATCAATCAATTGATCTTGAGGGAAGTTTTGAGTCATAACATTAGGTAAAAATGATGCATTTGAAACCTTGAGATCATGTCTCAAACCAAATAACCATTTGCTAGGTCAAAAATCAGAAATTGCCCTTTCTCAATCAAAACCCTAATTTTGACCATTTTGCCCTTTTGATGATCTGATCAAATTTCTTGAGGAATTATGGTCCAAACTTGATCAAATGACATATAGGAGTTCACAATGTTGATATGGATCAAAAGCTATGAAGTTTGACTGTAAATTGACCACCGATGATTTTTTCCCCAATACAACTGACTTTTAGGTCAGTTGATCAATTGACTGAGCAAAAATGTGATCCAAGACTTGTAACTTGACATGAGCAATATTGAGGGTCCAAAATGATCCATGAAAGTCATATGAGGCATTAAAAGTTCAATTATGTTTGTGCAATATCAAACCCTAATTTCAGTCATTTGTGCTTAAGGAGGTGTCTTGAGCTGATCAACCCTTGTGCAGTCTTGAACCAAAGAAGATCATGTGAGAAAATACTTGATAAATGAGAGGGAAAATTTTGGGGTACAACAGGTTAAAACCTATATTATTTCAGAATAATCACCATCGTCCGCCACAATCAAACATCGACGAAGAATCCATTATCGAAAAATGAAACTACTGCCATTTGCATTTCAACTCTGACCACCATCACACCATGAAAACACATATCTGCCACCGCCACTAACAAAGTTCAATCAGAGAAGATGATCAAGAAAGTTGAGTGAAAGAAGATGAAATGCAAAAAGAGGATAGGTTTGGAGAGAAGATGATGAAGAAAGTTGAGAGAATAAAGATGAAATGTTGGTTAGAGTTCAAAGCAACGTCCTTTTCATGAATAGAAGATAGAGAAACAATATTGTAAAATGAAGAGGAATATAGTAAAAAGTAATATTTAGACAAAAGGAAATTGAAAACGAACCATATGACATCATCATTTAAACCAATCCTAGCCAATAAAGGAATAATACAATAACTATATAGTTGGAATCAAACAATGTGACATCATTAGTTGCAAAAAGTAATTTTTGGACTAAAATTGCCTCCATTTTGAAGATGTGGCAGATTTAGAAGAAAGGGCAATATTGAGATTTCCACAACATCTTCTTTTCTTATATTATAGATAATAATATTTTATTAATACCCATCAACTTCATTTTGTCCATCAATCTTCATCTTGTTAAATCCCCCAAATTACTATCTGAGTTACTGATTTTAAGCAATCTTCATCACATGGATAAAAAAAACAAAAAAATCAGAAAAAAAACTTTAAAAAAATGAAAAAACACTAACTCAAATTCTTTCAAGTCTCTCTTTCATCCCTAACATAGGAAAAATAAAAAATCAAGAAAAATAAGGTTACATCTAGATTTAGAATAAAATAAGAACATGATTAAATGACTTAGAAAATAAAATAAAGAAAAATTTAAATCAAGTTGAATGGATGAAAATAAAAAGTCAAAAGATATCTAGATCTAGAATAAAAACAAAGAGCCAATAGACTCTAAACAAATACAAACTAGTTGTTGCAAAAGGTGTTCTTCTCCAAATACAAACCCTAACTTATCACTGCGAGGAATCTTTCTAAAGGCCACCGAAGCAACTCAAATTCCTCTCCGTCTGTATTTTTTGAGATCAATTTTATAAAATTCAATTCTATTAGTGGAAACAATCTATAGATATGAAAGAGAGTTAATAATTTTAGCATTGAACTAAATCAACATGCATTTTGGAGAAATCATAGATTGAATAATACTTCTAATTCCTGAAGAGATTGAAACAAAGTTGTGAGATTTTCAACAGAGAGAAAAGATTTACATGTTCATGTGTTAATGCGTGAAATGCATTTTTATTGACTAAGATTTTTAATTTATTTTAATTATACATTGTTAATTTTGTTAATTGATACAATGTTAAATGATATTTTAAATGCATTCTCTAATTTAATTAAAATCAAATTTAAATAATTTTATGAAATTTTATATATCATATGTGAAATATTATTTTAATTAAATATTAATAGGTTATTATTATTATTATTATTATTATTAATAATAATAAAACTATTATTGATACGAATAAAATATTATTATTATTAATTAAAATGACATGAATTTAAATTTGATAATGCGACAATAACACACCATCATTAATTACTCTCAAATTAAGAGACTAAAATTTTAAGAAAAACTTAAAAAAAAATTAAAAATTTAAATTTTAAAATGAAGAAACCAAAACTTAAAAAGAAAAGTTTCAATTAAGTCTTTTTATTTAAAGAGGACAAAATAATTCATTTAACATGTTTTTATCATAAGACATTAACAAAAAAAAAAAAAAAAAAGAAATAAAGGGCTTTTAAAAATGAATTAAAACCTTTTAGTAATAAAGAAAATAAAATACTAAACCCTAAACAACGAATCTCAAAAAGCCCCATCAGCGTTGGCATTGTATCATGAACTTGTAAATTGGTGTAGCATTTAACTCAACCGCCGGTATAAAACCTAAAGTTAGCCGGAAAATACAGTCATCGCCGGTCGCTGGTCGCCACAAACTCTGAGAAACTCCGTCGAGGTTTTCCTTTTCGTTTAACTTGTATTTCAATTTTCAATTTTCATTTAAAGTTGCATGCATTTATCGAATCTTGTTCTACAAATCAGTGCGCGTAAGTACATCGTTAATTATTCGATAAATTGAATTGATCTTTTGAATATGAGATTCTTGATTATTTCTCTCCTATGAAAGCACTGACACGTACCCCGACACAGACACAGACACTGCGACACCAGTAATAATTTTAAGAAATAAATAAATTAAAAGTAATCACAAGTGTCGGTGCACATATGTGATTGGTACTGGTTGAATTATAGATTTTTGAATATGTTATAACTTTTCTATGACAATGAATTTTGTGCTGAGTTCATATTTTTGCCATGGTGCAATTCCGGTGAGGTAGCGGTTTTCGACACTGAATGATTAAATGATGAAACTCTAGGATACTACAGTGTTCTCATATAGTGTCCGTAGTGCTAAAAAATGGTGAAATTTGAACAAGTGTTTTCAAATAGCCGCGCCTTAACGTCGATGTAACAGAATTTGAACAAATGAACTGTGATTTTCTGTTGGTTATCTGCAATTGACAACACTGAACCAATTGGTTTTTTGATCAGGATGGTCTTTTTTTCCATAAGAAATAGAACCAAACCAAACCTCATTGCAGCCATGATGTGGCGTCGATGTCTTATTTACATGTTAAAGATTCACTTTCCCTTTCTGGGTACTCTATTTGTTTGTCTGTTAAAATCTCACATCTTTACTTTTCTGTAGAAGGTTGCAACTTTTAAAGATGGCTGCAAGCTTTGCTTCCAGATGTTCCCGTGGTATGTTGTTTTATGTTTCCGTCTTGTATTTTTACACTGACATTGGATAGCAATTAAACTCTCTTTATGTAAACCGGAGATGTCTCAATGTTTTGTGGATTGTCTTTTTTTTTACCCAAAAGTTATTGTAGAATTTTCTTTGGCATGTTGAAACTTGGAGGAATTTTATTTCAATTTTGATTTTTCTAGTGATCATTTGTAGTTATAGAGTTCCAAATCTTGTAGGGACTCTGAAAGGTTTTTTTTTTTAATGCAACCACAATTTTGGTTGCACTTAATGCCAGTATAGCTATTTTTATTAGTGACTCTGACATTGGCCCAAGGTCTAATATTACTGTAAGTATATGCTAGGAGGCATTAAAGGCCTAGGACACAGGAAATGGTAAGACCATTGAATTCAGTCTTTGTTTTCTCTAAGAATCTGATGTTTTTATATTCAAAAGAATTAAGTAAAGATTTTTTTAGAAACAAAGCAAAATTACTTTAGTAGCAAAATATTGAGGTTTGCATGGACTGGCTTGATAATTATCAATTATTTCTATGGAAATTTTATGAGACACCTAGACATGTAGAGACATATTCTAGAAGTTGCAGAAGAATTGTGAATAAGAGTTAGTTGACATATTCTCTAATTTTAAGTAATTTATGTTATAAGAGAGAGGAGGGGAGAAGTTGAGTGTCATTCAGAAAAGTGGTTAGTTAGATTTCCCCCTGGGTTAGGAGGTTTTGCTCTGAATTAGGAGCTCGTTGAGTTCTGGCTTTCTTTTTCTGTTTCTGTTTTAACCATTGTAAGAGTTTTGAGCTTACCATTTTCCAACTCAGTAACAATCAGTGTTATCAAATGTCTGCAATTGCGGCGCTATGATGGATATACATGGCGGTTTTTGGACTTGCCGCAATGGTAAATATTTGCGAGATATTGCGGATTTTTCCGCTATAACGGCGCCACAAAGCGTCCAGTATGGAGGGATTTTGGCTCTCCGCCATGAACCGCCATTTGCTACACTCGTAACAATCAGTTGCTTACCTAAATTTCTGATTTCTATCATTGGTCCGACCTACCAAAGTATCAAGAGGAGCTAGCACAGTCACAATCTCAGTCATGTCACTGGAAATATCCAAATGATTGGATGCATTGGAAGCTATGAAGCACGGACACCTCTAGGATTAGGCGTGTCTCGGTGTTTGACACACGTTGATGTCTGACACGTATGACACCCGTATGACACGTGTCGGAAAAGTCAAACATGTGTCTCAAAAAATTTATGTTTTTTCTTTGTTTCGGGACTCTTTGATCCGGTGTCCGACACCCGTGTAACACTCATACCACAAGTGTCAGACAATTCAGAAAAGTTTTTTAAACAAAATTTATTTATTTTTGCTTCAACACACTTTTAACATTTTTTGAACAAATCTCACTTACATTGAAAAATGTTAAACACATATTGAAATAACATTATTGATACAAAATTAAAGACATTAATTTTAATTGGAATATCTTTAACTATTAATAATAAATGGACAAAAGAAGTTCAAATACTCATATATGTAGCAGTGTCGGTGTCTTATGTTTTTGACATTATCAGAGTCGGAGTGTCTTTGTCGTGTCCTGATATCTGTGTCAAAGTCCGTGCTTCATAGATTGAAAGTGAGAATTGCTGCAACAGAGAGATCCTTGCTTTAAAAGATGGAGAAATTTTGTCAAATCATGATGACAGAGTTCACGGAAGTGCGAGTTCTTGGTTCTTCAAGAGGTGTTCATTCTTTCTCTTACAAGGAAGATTCGGTTTCTGAATCCAAATTGACGATGAAGAGTAAGGAAGTAGAATCATAGGGTAAGGAGTTTGAGGATCAAACTCTTGGCACACATGTACCTTAAGAAAAGAGAAAGTGATAATGTTCGGTGCATGTGTTGCAACAGAAACATTGGAGAATAATGAAGGAAACCCAAATTAATTAACAATGAAACTTCTATAGGAAAAGAGGAAATCAAGTTATAATTAACAATGAAACTTCTATGGGAAAAGAGGAAATGATTTTTAGTCTTTAAGCATATTGGTGCAGCTGTCTCCGAATTTCAGCTTTCAAGACAAGTCAGTTCCTAATTTGTTTTCATGCATGTTAATACACCTAGTCATATTCTTGAAGGTAGTAGAAGAAGTGTGAATATGAGTTAATTGTCTTAGAATTTGGGTTTGGCCGAATTCATCCCTACAAAAATGATTTGTAAGGTGAGGATTGCGCCTACTTATAAATACAAAGTATGCCATATCTCTTAGCAACGTGGGACTAAATTTACCCCTTCAAATTCAACATAATTAAGGTGTTGGAGACTGGCAATGAAGGCAAGTCAAATGCCTCAATTTAGACGACTAAGGGTGGACCACAATAAATGCAGAAATTCCGACACACCCTTTCACGCTGATAGGCCGTGATACCGTCTCAGAATGTGTGATTTGGGATCCCTACAAAACCGACTTGTTAGGTGAGGATTGTCCCCATTTATAAACACAACACATGCCATATCTCTTAGCAATGTGACACTAGATCCATCTCTTTAAATCTAACACAATTAAGGTGTTGGAGGCTGCAATGAAGGCCAGCCAAATGTCACAATTTAGGCGACTAGGGACAACAGACCATAATGAATACGAAAATTCCAACACACTCGCTCACGCTTAGGCCTCTATGATGAGGCTTAAGCATGGACAATGCGGGAAGACCAACAAGTGATTTAGGATAGACTCTGATACCATCTTAAAATTTGGGTTGGACATGACTCATCCCTACCATGGTTATTAAGATCTAGATTTAGATCGTGAGATCTTAAGATCTTACGATTTTCCAGCATGTTTCAGCGGTGACGCGCAGTAAAGATCGTCGAAGATGGCGGCGCGGTCGGAGCGCAGTGGTAGATCGTGAAATCATGGATGCAAAGATCTATTTGCAGTTGGAAAATTCGTTCAACCTGTTTCGACCCGGCCCAATCCAACGTGAAGGTTATCCGTTTCAAATTAAATTTGGCCATTTACAGCATTTAAAGCCATAAATCGTTCCTTTCTCTAAGGCTGATTTTTTAGGGGAGCATTACAGTTAATTAAAATTTCAATTTGGAAAATATCAACCTATTCAGTGATACCATTTATTCTATTCTTCAATTCCTTTCGTAAATAGTCATCATTCCTTCTCCATCTCTCATCAATCATCAGTTTTATATGATTTCTTCTCTTCTTTATCATACCTTCTACAAAGTTCTTCGTTCTATTCTACCACACTTTTTTTTCAATGTCTTCATCAATTTCAGTTTCGTGCATCTTCATCTGCACCACCAAAAATTCAAAAAAATGCTTCTTGAAGCATAACTGCTATTCCTAAGTATGGTGTCTCTGTTGATGGATAAACACGGAAAATCAAATGTAATTACCATTCAAAGGAAGTGATCAGAAGAGTGTACAGGCTGAAACATCATTTGGCTGATACACAGATAAATGTTGGTGCATGTAAGTCAGTTCCTGATGATGTTAAAGTCCAAATATGAGAGATTTTAAAATATCTGCAAAACAATTTACTAAAAAAACAGTAGAGGATGCAGATGAAATAGTAACAGAAAAGAGGCCAGTGGAGGATGATGGTAATGCGACGCCTGCAAAACTTTTCACGAAGAAGGGAATGAGTACTCAATCCACCGGTCAACTCCATCTTCAAAAAGAATTTCAGAGAAGAAGTATGTCTTGAAATTGCTTCTTTCTTGTACAATCATGCCATAGCTTTTAATGTGGCAAAAATCAAAGAATTTCAAAAAATGTTATAGTTTCAAGACATGGTCTTGGATGTAATTTCCCACATTTCCAACATTTTTTGAAATTCTTCACTTTTTACCACATTAAATTCGGGTCGAACGAATTTTTCAAATGCAAATAAATCTCTGCTTCCACGATTTCACGATATACCATTGCACTCCGACCACGCCGCCATCTCCGACGATCTTTGTTGCGCCCGCCGTGAAAACATGCTGGAAACTCGTTAGATCTTAAAATCTCACGATCTAAATCTAAATCTTGACAACCATGCTAGGGACCACGAAGGCACAAACGTCCAAAGGCAAGGCGTATATTCCACTTTTGTAAACTTTCTCTGGATACAATTTCTAGACGCATACTTTTGTGAACTTTGAACAAGTTCAATAACCCGACAAAATGATGTTTTTTCATAAGTGCACACTCACACACCCTTTCTCTCTTTCATTGGTCTTATCTAGTAAGCATTAATATAAGTTTAACATTTATTTTTCAAATCATCTTGGTTGATAATAATACCTCATAGCGACCATGTTTTGAATATGACAACCGCATTAGTTACCATACATTGATTTAGAGTTGGCAAGTTTAAGGTCTGATGTTTACGGTCTCAACATTTCTTATTGATTCTCATTTTATTAATTACTAATTAAATTTATTTTATTATAACTTCAATAAGCGTGGTGTGATAGAGCAGGTATCAAATGGACTAACAAGACTTAGATTTAATTTTTATTAACTTAGAAAAGGCGTATGATAGTGTCGAGAGAGATTTTGTGGAAAGCTCTAGAGAAGAAAGGGATTTGAATTGTATATATATTCGAGCTATTCAAGATATGTATGAAGGGATATCGACTAGTGTTCGGACACAAGATGGAAAGACAGACGATTTTTCCATTACAATTAGTTTGCATCAAGGGTCAACCCTAAGTCCCTACTTTTTTACCTTAATTTTGGATGTACTCACGGAACATATCCAAGAGCAAGCACCGAGATGCATGATTTTGTAGATGATATAGTCTTTTTTGGAGAGTCGAAGGAGGATTTAAATGAGAAGTTAGAAACTTGGAGACGATCTTTAGAAACACACGGTTTTTGCCTAAGCAGAAGTAAGACAAAGTATATGGAATGTAAGTTCAATAAAAGAAGAAGCGTTTCTAACCTAAAGGTGAAAGTTGGAGACCATATTACCCCTCAAGTCACACGGTTGGTATATCTTGGTCTGTAATATAGAATGATGGAGAAATAGAAGGGGATATAAATCATCGAATTCAAGTTGGATGGTTGAAATGAAGAAAGGCATCATGTGTTTTATGTGATGCAAAGGTACCGCTCAAGCTGAAGGGAAAGTTTTATCGGATTGCAGTAAGACCTACGATTTTGTACGAGACACAATGTTGAGCGGTTAAGAATCAACACAAGAATAAAGTAAGTGTAACAGAGATGAAGATGTTGCGGTTGATGTGTGGTAAGACTCAACAGGATAAAATTAAAAATAAAACTATTAGAGAGAGAATGTGTCGGGATAGCGCCTATAATAGAGAAGATGATAGAAAATAGACTTAGGTGGTTTGGGCATGTAGACAGGACCGGCCCAATCAATCCAGAGGCCCTGTTATAATTTAAAAAATAGGCCTAAAAAATATTAATTTTAATCGAATTTTAAAAAAAAAAGTATAAAATCATAGATTTTAAAAATAAATTATGATTTTACACCTCTTTTAAGATTTTACATCTGTTTTTAAAATCTATTTTTTAGTAATTAAAAAAAAGTGAACCCTCCAAAATTTGGGGTTCAGTGCTGTAGCGCACGCGACACCTACACTGGACCGGCCCTATTTCTACCATAAATTTAGCGAAGATTTTGTTGATGATTATGCAAATAATGCATTTGATATTATTGTTGAGTAAGTGCAATAAAACCTTACTCGAATCAAACTTTGTTGATGAGAAGGCAAACAATTCGAGGAAGAGGAAGACTCAAAAAAACTATAAGAAAAGTTATTAAGAAAGATCTTGAGATTAATAATTTTGATAGAAGTATGGTCTTTGATAGAACATTATGACAAAAGTTGATCTATGTAGCCGATTCCATCTAGTGTGAGAATACTTAGTTGTTGTTGTATAACTTCTTTAAGTGTCTTGGATAGAATATTATAGTAGAATTTGACCCATATAACCGACTTCCCTTAGTTGGATAAGGTTTGATTGTTATATAACTTCAACAAATGATTTGGAAGCTTAAAATATTATCAAAATATATCAGCATTGGTAAAAGAGAAAACCCAAGAAAATTGACTATTCATTCTTCATTAAATCTCATAGTTTCGGTTTAGGTCCTTAAAATTCTAAACAGGATGTTGTCTGTTGATGCCAGTACTCTTCCAATGGTTGTCTTAACTTTTGGTGGTAATGTCCAAATAGTCCTCTGTACTACAGTCATGTTGTAGTTTGGTTATTACATGATGGTTTTGCTTCCAAAACCATGGTGCATTGGCAAACCGTTGTTTTTACAATATTTGTTTTTGTTTGACTACATTTTGCAACCACTGAAATTTCATATATTAAGCACACTCATGCCACTGATACTCTTCCCCCTATTTACAATTCAAACATAAGCACAAGATTTTTTATGTTCATAAGATGATATTTTTATTAAATTAATTCTCTGTTTCATGTGTTGAAAAACCAAACTAGCGGGCCGATCTTTGTTTGGCGGATTAAGCAACAGTTCCCCTGGTCTATTTACAACGACACATGAGATGACATGCAGCAATTATCTTTTTCAGGTAACGGTATGAATCAGTTGCATAATTACGTTTCAGTTAATATAATTTCCTTATGATTCCCTCATGAAATGAAAAGTTTCGGTATATCTTTTTTCCAGCAACAACGAAACTTCATACAGATGAGAACTGTTCTGAAGGTTGTGGACAATTCCGGGGCTAAAAAAGTGATGTGCATACACGCATTGAAAGGGAAGAAAGGAGCAAGATTAGGTGATATGATAAAAGCATCAGTGAAGGAAGCACATCCTAATGGAAAAGTTAAGAAGGGATCAACCGTGTTTGCCGTAGTTGTTCGCGCAGCAATGCCGAAGGGTAGATGTGATGGAAGTGAGGTGAAGTTTGATGACAATGCTGTGGTGCTGGTTGACAAGCAAGGGCAACCTATTGGGACAAGGGTTTTTGGACCAGTTCCTCATGAACTGAGGCAGAAGAAGCATGTCAAAATCCTTACCTTAGCTGGGCATATCGCATAATGGAAAAAGAGTCAATGTGAAATTTTATTATGGAATCTAATGTCACTCCTATCATTCATGTAATTTGAATCTTATGGAATCTTTTGAGCAGGGATGTTATTCTTGTAAAAGTAATTTTAGATTTTTAATTTAATAAAAATGATTTTGCTACCCAGACAACTACTTATGGAATCTAAATGATGTTATCCTTTGGAGACGCTGCCTAGACAACTACTTTGCTACCCCTTCTTTTTGAATGATGAAAAATGGGGAGTATTAATTAAATACTTATGACTATTATTAGGATGCATTTTATCATCTACCATCACCAGTACTCCACTAAAATACTTAATTAGGTTCTTTTGTACTTCTGTTTTTATTTATCCTTTGAACATCCTTTGCACAATTAATCATTATGCATTGCTGCACCTTTTGTTACGAGAGTTATATTCTTGTATGCTCGTTTGTATAATCTGTTATTTTATAAAATATGATTATATGTATTATACCAATCAAGTGTTTCCTCCAACATTTTCTTCTCTCTATTAAAAATGGTTTATGCAACAAAAATCCCTAAATATTTATCATTCTCGAAAAGGGGAGAATATTGAAACATTCCATAAATTTTGAGGATAACAACTCATGCTTGTTTATAAATTTTGAGGATAACAACTCATGCTTGTTTATCTAACTTCTGTTACAAAGTTTGTAGACAGGTCATCGAATAATTTTTTTAAAGAGATCTCCTTTACATATTTAATTTTGTTTTAATATATTTGAAGATCCTAAAGGAATACTCCTACTCCTCATTCATCTATGTAATCAAAAGAGGATTCACCAAATGCAATTTTGTCCCCTCGAAAGTACAGTCAATAAAAAAGAAAGGCTAAAATATTCGCTACCATTGTTATGCCTCCTATCCTGAGGGTTCAACATTTGACATGACCTTTGAATATCCCATCACAATAGTACAAGGCTTCATTGTAACCTCTCAACGGTTACCTTTCAAATGTGGTTATAAAAAGGATAAAGTTGTCCTATGAAAAATCATCAATTGAGAAAAGAAAGAAAACGTTAAAGCACTTTCTACTTTTCTCACTATAAAGCTTCATTCAAATTGATTCAAATTCAAGTTCTCACTCATTTACAAAGCTAGTCACTGCCAAATAGTGTTTGAGTTTTTGTTCAAAATACTATCTCTTTGTATATCCCCAAGTGATTTAAAACGCTAGAAAAGTGTAATCAAAATCTAAAGTAAGAATACTTTAGTAAGTGTAAATCCTTTTGAACCTAAAAGAAAAATGACCACATTTATTCTTAAAAAGAATAATATGTGAGAAATAAGAAAAATCTCACTGTGTGTGAGGATTGGACTAACCAACATTGGTGAACTAGGATAAAATTATTGCGTGTTATGTTTACTTGTGTTATGTTTACTTTCTATATCTCCTCATTATCTCATCCTAAGCAAAATCCTTTAAACACAAATTTTTTAAAGGGTCACTATTGCAACCCCCTCTTTCTAGTGACATTTTTAGTTACTTCAACTATTGCATGTACCAAGACCCATGACAAAAATATTATCAGTATTAATGAACTTTGTCCTATTATGAAAATTGACATCCTTGAATATAGAGACTGAAACCAACTTCCCACAGTACAATGTCATGACATCCTGTTGGTCATTGTATGCTTTTAGCAACCAAATTAATTGAGAGCAATAACTTCCTTCAGCATTATACTTAGCCTTAGATAAAGACTAGGATAAATAAATTTACTTATTGTTGATCCAAGAGACAAGATTGTTTCCAAAGAAGAAACATCCTTTATTAACACAAATTCCATTAGACTTGTTCTTGTAAATTAATTTTGCACCAATAGCTTTACACCAAAATTCATCAGACAAGGTCTCATTAATTTGAATACAAAACTTGATATAAAACCATAATTAGACCTCACATATTTGATTATAGAGAATGTCTCCTAAACAAATAATTTATTCATTTAAAAGAAATTTAAAACTCAAGAGAGAACTTTGTTGACTTGAGATCTCTCTTATAAAGTTCCTGCTGGCTCTTAAGAGACTGCATCATTTTATGGAGTGTCAATTTGCTAAGACAATGTTTCAACATATGCTTCAACATCGGTCTCATTCTTAATGATTGAATCATTGATATTAATTATGAAGGTATCATCTCTATATGATCTGCTCTTGGTAAAGTAACTCTGACATATACATTCATCACATTTGGAACACATATTTCCTTGAAGAAGCTAATAAATAACTTTGAAGTCCTCATAGATGATTGCTTTTTATTTGCTATAGATTACCCAGGATATTTTAGAAAAATCATCAAAAACAACACAAACATGCCTCTATCCACCAAGACTCTTACCTTACATTTGCCTTATTAGATCCATAAAAGGAAGTTCTGGAAATTTTGTAGTAGTCTGATGTTGCAACTTCTGGTGTGGCATCTTGACTTAATCTTCCTTGGACAAAGAGCATGTGGATTAGCAAGAAGATTCTCGTGGTACCCACAAATAGCAATTGTCTTTAGACCTAACTTCCTCATCATAACTCCATTCTTCTCATTAGGGACCAAAACATTCTCCATTGATGGGATTTACTTTCAGAACTTGATCACATAACTGATTATGATTATCAGAATAGTTGTCAGACATTCAACAATGAGAACATCATCCATTCAGTTCTCTAACATACTTAATTTCACCTTTTGGCACCATCACCAAAAGTAACAAGACTGGTAGAATGTGACTAAATGATTACCATAAACTTCTTTACTCTAGTCATGTGTCTGGAACATCCACTGTCAAAGTACCAATCTTATTTGTTGAAGTTTCAAGAGAGATATGAGCACTTTCTTTGAGACTTAACCACTATTTGGTTAACCTTAGACTGAACTGGACCTTTGAAATAGTCATTCAAATTGAAACAAATGAGACCACCTATGACCAACTTTACCATAAAAGTGACAACTTTAGTGCAAGAACCTGTCTTTAGTTAGAGTAGTTTTGATGTCTAAAATGATTTTGAGACATTTTGATTGACATCATTGACTCATCCTACCTTTTGGAGGAACCAAGTTTTGTCACTAGAGGTTTCCTTTCTTGTTACAGCATTGATAATCAAACCCTATCCCTTATAGATTTCAATTCATCTTCCCATCTTGAAGAAATTCCTCCACCATATCTTAACTATTGTTCAACATCCTCACAAACTTGATCATGCTATCAAGTTTGTAGGTCAACAAAAATACCTTATTCTGCAGGTTATAGATGGTAGACAAATATCCTTCCTTTTCAGCCTGTAGTTGAGAAATAGTTACCTTTTATTTTCTCCTTGTTAACAAACTTCTTCCCTTTTGATGAAAAACTCTTTGTAAGAAACATCTAGCTCATTATGATTTATTTCTTCATTACAAGAGTCTACATCAGAAGCCCACTTTCCAGTTAAGGCAGTAACATACTTGGCAGATACATCATCAGTATCACCTCCCTCATTAGACCAATAAATAAAAATCCCCTTAAGATGTTTCTTGAGATAAGTGGGGGCATTTGTCCAACTTATTCAAATTCATGACACAAAATGCATTTACTTGGATTGGAATTTTCATTTGTTCTAGCTTTTCTTTGAGTAACATAGTTCTTGCTGTTGTCAGAAATGATGTCCTCGACATTTGTCCTTGACCTTCTATCCACTTCCTCAGAACCTGGTTGAATAGCCTCTAAAGGAACACAATAACAATGAATATCCCTTAATTAGAAACCATGTCACAAGCTCCTACAGAGTTGGAGACAAGCATGCTCTTATTCTTCAATTTAGATATTCATGTCAAATCCCTTGGAAGAGATCTGAGTACCTTTCTAACCAGCTATCTTATGAACTCTTTGCTCCCAAATCACTTAGATGTGCCTTCATGAGAGATCTTGAGAGATTCTAAAGCATTTTTGGCCATAGTGTAACACCCTTTTAAGCCCCACTAATTAATTTAAATAATTTAATTTAAAATTACCACACGAGGGTGTCATACATCATAAAAACATCATAAATTCAATTATGCTCTGTAATACGTGTTAGCGAAAAATATATATTTAATCATACATTTTCTTACCTGGGATGTTACACGACATCCAAACACATCTGATAACTTACCTAGGATGTTACATGACATTAAAACACATATGAATACATTTGAAAACATAAAATAAAAACACATAATTGGTCTCATAAGACCTTTTTTTAACTTCAATCAACATAAATAAGAAAGCCACAATGTTCTAATCTCAACAACATAATACATAGTTTCAACAAATAATCAATAATTGTAAGTAACACAAAAACGGTTCCCATCCTAATGTTACACGATCAGAGCAAGACCCTACTACAATTAAATGTCACTAAATGGAAAACAATTCAAGAGTTAGCATTCCACTTACTTCAATAACTCTACTTATGAGAATCTGCATGTTACCCACGTGGAGACAATATTCAAACAGAAGGGGTGAGAATTTATTTCAATAATAATGGTATAGAATGTAATATATAGTACAACATTTACACAAACATGCAAAACGATATTTCACATTCTCACGCCCAAATCATCATCTATATCATATACAATAATATCATCCTCACACATAGTCATATTCAACACAATCTTAACCATACTATATCAATTACATTCACACAACCAACATTTATATCTCAACAAATATATACGACTCATTATGCAACATGACTATGCTATGCAACTCGTTGCATATGAATGTGGTACCATCTCAACAAAAGGTTCCTTAGCGAACCAGGTTCACCCTACTCGAATCCCAAATTCACCTGCTCGGATTCGGGACTAGTCACTAATCTATCCTGCTCGGATTACAACTTGTTTCTTTCATCAACAAAAATGACATCATGAATGCATATCAAAATACGTCAATGCAACAACAACATAATGTTTAAAGTGTCCATCCGACAATAAACAAAACATGCACTGACT